CTATGTGCTCAGGTAAAACATTGCTCATCCTGTTTCTAGGTAAGGGATGGGAAAAAAATTGGGGTGAAATAAGCAGTATCTGCCACAAAAACAAATAAGAAAATGTAGTAAAGTATGTTAGGAATTTTCTAAAAATGTTCCAAAAATACCATGTAAAAATCCACGGGTATTGGGTCTTATAAGCCCCAATACTGCACATGCCTGACACCAATTCTATTTCTCTCAACCAGCACACACTATATTTGCCACTTGTTTTTCATTTTTTTGAATTATCTACGCCTATATTTTACCTGTTCATTTCTTAGAGAACTTTGTAATTTTTTATGGTTTATGATTGCTTTTTATACTAAGAATAGTAATTGCTTCCCATATCCGTTTCAAACATTTTCCTTGGTGTAGTGTATATATTTTAATTTTGGTTCTGACATTTTCTTAATTATATATTTGGGGGTTCTAATATATAATGATGCCTGTTGCAGGCCTATTTATTTTGTTCCATTGATTTATCTTGATTATTGCCAGTGTTTCAACTTCATAAAACATTTAGTGCTTAGTATATTCCCCAAGTTTAACTTTTTCCCACCAGTTTAACTTTTTCTCACCAGTTTAAATGAGTAAGGGTGAGCAGTTGTAAAAGGTACTCTCTTGCTGTGGGGGCCAAGGTTCCAAGTATAAAGAAGCTGCTGTTTTTTAGCAGTATCCATTTTTATCCTATCAGTGATCAGTCATGGTCTCCTCTCACATTAGTGTCAGCTTAGAAGTTAGAGTTCTTGTTGGCCAGACTGTTTCTGAATCCCATCTCATTCCTTCTGTAACAACAACCTCTACTTTTCTAATCCACCTTCCATAAATGCTTTCTTAATATCCTGTCTTCAATGCCTGCTAGACATTTCAGCCACAAATTCTGGGTGGACAGGTTTTTTCCACACTGGTCTCTGTATATCTGGCATGTCCATCACTGCTGGGTTCTCTTGTTCATGACCTTAGGCCTGATTTTCATGATTCTTTCAGGTATACAGAAATCCTTCTGACACTCCATTCCTCCTTCAATGTACAGAAACTACTCTGCCTCTCTGGTGTGCCACAGAGAGTGGCAAGAAATTGGGGGTCTTTCTCAAGCCTGACACCTGAGTGAGGTCATAAGGCTGGCCATTGAATTCCCAATATAACTGAGATTTCTATTAACGTCTGTGCCCAACCTCCACAAAAGACAGGAGAGCCATGATGTTTCTGTACCCTTCTCACCACCAACCCTAGTTGTCCACATTCCAGAAATCTTTCCTGGTCTTGAAAGACAAGAAGCTTTTCTTTAACATCATTATGCAAGATTTTAAACTCACTGTTCATTGGGCATGGATTCATGAGATTAAAATTTCTTTGAAAGACATTTATGTAACTCTCAAACTGAGATGGCATCAAGACAGATTAGACAGCATGAAAACCCCAGGCACTCTTAAGTTGAGATGACTAGGAAACATGAAATATTGTTATGATTATGGTACAAGAAATAGGCAGTTAATTCTGGTGGTACTAAGTTAATGAATCCAGTAGAAAATAATTTTGGTCTTCACCATCTGTTTCAAAATATACTGTTGTCTTAAAAGATACTTTTGCCTGAGTTTTCCATATGAATATAAAACATCCAATTAAAACTAAAAATGTATTCTAATTACCTTAACAGGTAGGTCCACAAATACTTAAAATTTAATATACAAAGTTAATATTTACTAGATGAAATCCTTAGCCATGTGCATACCATTGATGATTGATAAACACATAGAGGAGGAAAGGGAGGATAAAAAAAGAGGAAAGAATGGAAAATGAATAGGGGGAGAGAAAAAAGGGGAAGAGGAAGAAGGAAAAAAAGAAAAGGGAGAAAGGAAGAAAAATAACATAGAAATATAACACCAATAAATACTGGAACAAGTAAAAACTCCTAAAAATGTAGAGAGAGTAAAGGTCTGCTGTCATGAAGTAAATTTTCTAAAAATCAGTTTATTCACTTTATCCTGTATAGTCATCTCAGTGATCAATTTGCTAGGCAATTGCTTAACTCCACTTCAGTTTACTTTTGCAAACAAAGTCTTTGGGTCAACATAAAAAACTCAAACAGTTTCAAAAGTGAAATATTTTGAAAGCATTTTGTTTGCTAATACAAATATACTTTATGGTTAACTATTTAATAGAGATTGACTTCCTCCAACTTGGCCCAATTATGTGATGAGTTTAAGACAAAACAGCACCAGCAGCACTTAGATTATTAAAACATGGTTAAAGTGTAAAAATCAATCATTAACCTCAAAATTTTCTTCAGCATCTTAGTAGCATGTTCTCTGTTTTGCTAGCATTGTATTAAAAACTAGAGGCCTGGTGCATGAAATTCATGCACGGGGGCTGGGGAGGAGGGGTCCTCAGCCTGGCTTGCACCCTCTCACAGTCTGGGGTCCTGCTGTGGCAGCTGTGCTCAACAGCTGTGAGATTGGCTTCTGGCTGAGCGACCCTCCCCCCGTGGGAGCGCACCGACCACCATGGGGCAGCTCCTGCTTTGAGCATCTGCTCCCTGGTGGTCAGTGCACATCATAGTGACCAGTCATTCCGCTGTAACAATCGCTTAGGCTTTTATTATATAGATAAGTGGGCAAAAGTCATAGCTGTCATTCTCAGCTATTTAAAATAATGGCATCATATAATAGGGTTACTTACTACTGCATTGTAACCTCACTGAATTATTAAACTATTACTTTAATGTTTTCCTGGTAATTTTTTAAAGGTTCATCAGTGCTTCCTTATTCTAGATCTTATCATTATCCAGAACTGGATATGCATAAGAAACCTGGAATTTAAAGTTGAATTACATGACTGTCTAAATGTATTTGCTATCCCTTACTTTTTTATAGAGCAAATGAATGCAAAGTAATAACCCTGTACAAAAATGAAAATTACTTTTGGATGGCATCCTTTTTGAGATAGACCTCCTCCTATGATTAAAATATTACAGCATGCTTTAAACATCAGCAGGGTTGAGTAAGTCTTTAAAATGAATACTGTGTTTAGGGTCTTTGATATTTTAATATTCCTTCACCATTTTAAGAAAGCAAACCACTTCTATAGCAATGAAATGTCTCAAATTCTATAAAGCAAGAAAACCAGGAATGTATTCTCTGACAGTAATACCTATCAACTATGGCTGAATGGTTTCACTTGGTATTAAACTGCAAATTCCATTTTTAGCTGGAAAACCTGTAAAATATTAGATTCCTCATATTAAAGATCAACATACCATGACCAAATCAGGAAAAAACTTGATTACTGCATTTATGTATGCTAAATTAGATTAAAATCTGCCCTTCTAATTACCTGTGTATTATGTGTGCCAAATGCACAGTGTATTAAACATTTCCCCTCTGAACTCCAGTGGCACTTACTTTCTAAGCTTTTCATTTAGTGTTAGTTACCATTTCATTTTACTAATTCTAATTTACCCATGTGAGACCTCTCAAAATCACCTGCAATGTCCTTGAGGACACACAGACTTTAATATAGAGGGCTGTGTTTACATATTATCAAATGTTATGTCAGTTTATTAAGCAACTTACTTTTTCGGGGACTATAGAAATCTGGTGAACAATGGCCCAAAAGTTAACTAAGCAGGAAAACTGGTTGAGTTACTTCTGCCCAAGATCTGTTCTGAACTATTTTTACCACAGTATGACCCACTAGTAAACCTCCCAGAATCCACAATCACTATCCCACTCCATTCAGCCATCCATGTCTCCCTTACACATCACAGATGTGCAGAGTGGTTTTTCTTTTTCTTTTTTAATTGATTTCAAAGAGGGAGAGGGAGATAGAAACATCAATGATGAGAATCATTTATCGGCTGCCTCCAGCACACCCCCCACTGGGGACTGAGCCACAACTGGGCATATGCCCTTGACCAGAATCAAACCCAGGACCCTTCAGTCCGGGGGTGGATGCTCTATCCACTGAGCCAAACCAACTAGGGCTAGAGCAGGTTTTTACATGCACTACCCCTCACACCCTGTCTTTTCTATCCTTTCCATCAAAGTAAGCATAATCTTCAGCCTCAACCTCTGTACAAAATTTGGCATCAGATGAGAAATGCAAGTGTGGTGTGGAAACACCTTCTGCAGTGGAGAAAATACACATGTTGTAAAATATTTAGTAATGGTCTTAGATTCATTTAACAAATATTTAATGCCTATTGCACAGTTGTTTTGAGAAATACAAAAGTTTTGTTTTCAAGAAGCTGATCTATAATAGATCTTATTGCTGGGCCAGAGAGCACCAAAGTAAGGGCCAGGACTTATCTCTGAGCATGGCCAACCCACCCACCGCCTATATTTCCAATGGTTACAAATAACCAAGGCTTGCAGGTTATGGAATCTGTTTTGAGTTATAACACAAGCTACTTAAAATATTTTGTACTAAATTTCCATTAAAATGCTTAGTTGTTTTCTCCTTCCTTTTTCTAGTGATTTCAAAGTTTAGTGTTTTAACTGCTAGTGGTTGCTTTGAAATAAAAACATTCAAACTCTTTAGGTACTGTAAAAATGCAAAGGATAAATTGCTTATTTACCTTCTCTATCTGTATACAGAGGCTCATTCCTGTTTGAGAATCCCATTTGACCCTGATGATTTCCTCATATTCTGCATCTTCACTTCTTAAAGTAATTCTTTATTTAAAGCATTACTTTATTGGCTAACATTTCATGACTTACCCATTCTTTTCTTTAAATAACCTACTAGGCCCTAGCCAGTTTGGCTCAGTGGATAGAGCGTTCGCCTGCGGACTGAAGGGTCCTGGGTTCGATTCCGGTCAAGGGCATGTACCTTGGTTGTGGGCACATCCCCAGTGGAGGGTGTGCACGAGGCAGCTGACCGATGTTTCCCTCTTATCGATGTTTCTAACTCTCTATCCCTCTCCCTTCTTCTCTGTAAAAAATCAATAAAATATATTTTAAAAAAATAAAAAAAAATAACCTACTAGTTCTTTAGTTTTTCTATAATAGGTTTATAATACTATGAGCCTTTCCAGAGAAAATGTTTAACTCAGAAAAAGGATTACAACTTGTTATTGTATTTATGAATTATTCTTAGAACCTCTATAAACTGGCATTTAAGTAACGCAAGGGAAAGCTGAGTTTGTTCTATTTTGTCTCACTGAATTGTATTTTTCTTAATTTTACTTAAGCTCAGTCTGAATAAAATCCCAAGTAGTTATGCGGGCCCAGAGCATAATATTCCCAAGTGACCTAATTCCAGAAGGTGTGAAAGGCAGAATGGGCACCAAAATATCTTTCATTCTAATCCCTGTGAATATAAATTTATATGGTAAAGGAGAATTAAGGCAGCAAATGGAATTCAGGCTGCTAATCAGCTGACCTTAAAATGATTAGTCTGGGATATCTGGGTGGGCTCAATGAAATCACAAGATCCTTAAAAGTGGAAGAGGGAGGCAGGTCAGAGGAAGAGATGCTGGCAGAGCTCCGAGTATGATGGTGTGCAGACTGGACCTGCTGTTGCTGGATCTGAAAATGGAGAAAGGAGCCATGAGTCAAGAATGCCAGCGTCTAGAATTTGGAAAATGCACTGGATCCTCCTCCCCTAGCTGCCAGAAACACAGCCCTGCTGACACCTTAATTTTAACCTAGTGTCACCTGAGTCATCTACAGAACTGTAAGATAACTTGTGCAGCGTTTTGAACGAAACAAATGATAAAGACCTAAGTAATATAGTCAGAGGCCTTTGAAGAAACATTTCAATGGAGACCTAAATCCAGGTGAACATCACAAGCCTGTGAATTCTTTCCACCCCTTTCCTCTTCTGAAATTATGTTTGGGGCCAGCCAAAATGGATACCCCACAACCCTTAGTACTGTACTCTCAAGTATCTTTTCTTTATCCACTCCATCTAGGTAGGTATTTTGTGTGCGTATGGGAATTAAAGCTTTGTCACTGTTAACAATAAGACATGGTGCAGAAGGATCAGGCCTGAAAATGATCTTATCCTTTAGGCTAGTTCAGTTGGGCCTGGGACCTAAACTTGTCCTGAAACTCTGAAGGTGGGGAATGGAGGATTTTGTGCTGGACAGAAACTGAGATAGCTATAATAGGTTATCTTGCTGAATAAGGTAAAAATGCTGAAAACAATGAAACCCCGAAGTTTCCCTCTTAAACTACACTAAGAAGCTCCTTATGTACTTCTTTAAATTTCTCAACCAATTAGCCAAGTACCCCGTGGTAACTTATAAGAGCAGTCTTCAAGTTGGAGTTCACATTTTCATGGGCCCACAAACCAGATAAACTTCACAAAGGCTATGAGGAAATAAACTGCTGTGCCAATTTCTGTTGTTGCCTAAAATTAATCTGGAAAGGCACCTCCCTTTTCTTATATTCCTCAAGCATTCTGGTTTTGCTGATGCTTTGTCCCAGAGCACCAAAGACACAACTTAATTCATTCAAGGCACAATATACTAGTGAGGAATTTCTTATATTCCTTAAAACTTCTGCTGGGGTGAAGACAAGTTTCAATACCCATTATTGTTTTGGTCAGTGTTGATATTTTAAGAATGCCAAATTGTTTGATAACCAAAAATTGAGGATTTGAGATTATGGAGTAAACAGAAGCTGTGAGATAGACTTACTTCACCCAGGCAACAAAAGCATCTACTTGTCACTGTGCACCTTCCTCCAGTATGCCTTTTAAGAGTTTACTAACCTGGTGGTCTGAAGTGGAGTTCAACCTTACTTCCAACATATCACCATTAAACTGCCAGACAAATGGAATACGGGAAGTTTCCTAATTTCTTGACCCTTCAGTTTTCATTTTTGTTGTATTACTGGATCCTGTGAATGCCTACTTCCTGCTTATCAACTCTAATTCTTTCTACTAGATAGTTGATAATATACTTATACCTTAGAATCCCATCAATACTAGCAAATTAATGCCTTCCTTTTTTCTGTTAACCACCACTAAGCCTGCCTCATCCAGCAATCATTCACCATGGGCATTTCCACTGTTTATGCAAAACCTATCAAACACATTTCATGGACTGGCTTGCTGTTTTGGATGAATGGGCATAAATGAACCAAACATCTCAAATCCCTGCCCTCTTTGAAGGTAGGGACAGCATTTAAAAATACAAAAATGCCAATTCAGGTTTAGGGATGAGCCTCACTCAGATCCTGCAATTTCTAAGATCCCAGGTGTTTCTACTAGTCTTCTGTTAGGAAAATGACCCAGGGGATAATAGAGTATGCAGTTAAGTAGAGCTCCTTCGACTTGACGTTGGTACAAAGACTGAAAAGGAAACATGATTAAATCATGTGGTTATGTGGACAGAAACTTTTCCAAACAAGTGTCAAGTCCATGAAAAGCCTGCAGAATAGTACAGTGGGGACAATGGGAGGTACAACACTTCAATAAAAGGTCATTGTATCAAGGTGATTACTGAATACTCCAGGAAAGATGTCATTTTAAAAGAAGTCTATTGTGACTAACCACAATTAAGAGCAGAGAGGTAAGAAATGTTTAGAACATGGCACAAACTATATCCTATTTAAACAGAAATTTTAGGTATCAGTGAAAATAAAAAACAAACACATGGAAGTATACAAGTTTCACAATTCTGAGACGGAGGACTAGAAAATCTCTTGGCCAGAATGACCCTGAAGACTATAGTGTAAGAGCCAACCCCCAATTACACACTCAATGTATTAGGTGCCAAATATTTACCAAAGTTATCAATGGAATATTGCCTAAAGTTGGGAGCGAAGGAAACCCCGTGGATTCAGCAGCAAATATAAGACTGGCTCTAGCTGAAAGGTGTCATGCCAAAGCACAAGTCAGCTATAAAACTAAGAAATAGCCCTAGCTGGTTTGGCTCAGTGGATAGAGTGCCTGCAGACTGAAGGGGCCACGGTTCGATTCTGGTCAAGGGCACATGCCGGGGTTGTGGGCTCGATCCCCAGTAGGAGGCAGCCAATCAATGATTCTCTCATCATTGATGTTTCTCTCTATCCCTTCTCCCTTCCTCTGAAATAAAAATATATAAAAAACAAAACACTAATAAAGTATATGAAATGTCTGTTCTCTAGTCCTACTTAGTCTCTTACCTCCACATGAACTCTAATGTGTTGATGTTCTGCTTTCCCTATGGCTCATTTTGTAAAATGTATGGCAGCAGTTACATTCTTAAATACAAACATCTACAGACCTCTCAAAATGCTTGCCGTAGCATCCAGCCCTACTCACACCCCAAAGATTCTAATGCATCTGAAAGTTCCAGGACTTTATATTTTGGTAATTGTAACACCTAATTGTAGTGAAGTACCTTACCTTGCAAGTGTACAATCATTCTAGAATCCCAGCAGGAGTCTTCACTGGACCTTGGCCTTTGCATTCTAACTTTGTGTTGAAGGATGTATCTGAACTTGATGTACTGTCTAAAACCAGTAAGTGGCTCAAAGGGCATACATACTTGCTTTGAATGTAGACAACTGTCATCTACTCTCACAAGTCCCAGCTTCCCCAATCTGTTCAACAGTGGTTTTCCGAGAGCAGTGATGGCGAACCTATGACATGCGAACTCATTTTTTGGTTGATTTTTTTGTTGTTAAATTGCATTTAAATATATAAAATAAATATAAAAAATATGTCTTTGTTTTACTATGGTTGTAAATATCAAAAAATTTCTATATGTGACATGGCACCAGAGTTAAATTAGGGTTTTTCAAAATGCTGACACGCCGAGCTCAAAAGGTTCGCCATCACTGTCCTAGAGGATTACATCTCTATTAAATATACACTTGATCTTAGCCAATAGGCCAAGAGGCAATTTAAATACAGGAAAGTGATTCCTTTAAAGATTAACAGCCTTTCAAACCTTCAGCCTATGTAAATTGAAGTCAAATTGGCTTATGTTAGCAACTTCATAGCACATATACTTTATAAACATGTAAACAGGTCCATGCTCATTTTCTCTATGAAGTGCACATTCTCCCTAGTTTCAGGCCAGATATAATCTTGCAGTCTGAATGGAGATATTGCACTGAACATTTGATTTGGTACCACTTGCTACCAAGGTAAGGTTTTTATTCACCTCTATGCCATGCTCAACACTTCTCATTAATGACCAAACCTGTATTTGCAATGTCATTTACTTTAGACTCAAAACTACACAGGACTGCAATTTTGATAGTTGCTTTACCATCAAAAGTACAACCTAGTATCTTATTTTTAAAATATTGACTATTTTTTTTAACACCTATAGATTTTTTGAATTCTGAGTTGCTCAGAACATATTCAATTTTAAATATAGTACAGCTCCACTAAGAAGCATTCAAACTTTAGTAATCAACAAACGTTTGGGTATTTAATAAAAGCCAGTTAAAGACGTTTTATACTTTGGTTTCCTCTCTTAGCTTAAATGTCAATTTATCAATAAGTAAAAATAACTAAACGTATAATTTGTACTTGGAGCTCTTCTTACTGGATTTTAAGTTAACATATTAGGAACCAAATCAATCTCCAAATTAAGTAAATTCAGGTGTGATTTAAACATCAGATTATAAAAACTACTTAGAAATTAACCTTTCTAAACAGACTGACATGAATTTAAATTCAGAGCCCATTTACCAGTTTTATATTCTTCTTGCAAAGAAATTTTGCTGATTTCACTTCCTCAATGGTGAAATTAGGATACAAATACAGATGCCATAGACACTAAATTATTAATACAGGTAAATCACTTTGGTATTTGTTGCTGCTTCCCGTATTACCTCAATAGGGATGTTTCATTTACTGTAACAAAAAAGAAAAACTGTCACAACTAAGAAAAACTTTAAAATTTTTATTTCATTATGTTCATCTGGACAATTTCTTAACAAGCAGTTTTAAAATACATAACTTTATTTATTTACATTAAATGCACTAAACAATTCAAAGAGCATGACTAAAGTGCAAATACATAGAATAGGCATCTCAATGCTGTGTCTCTGTGGTTCAAATTGGAAAAACTAAGCCTTTTAAATCAAATTTTCTATGGCCCTAAAATTGATGGGATACACCCATCTTATCCTTTAAAACTCAGTACATTAATTCACATTTCGAGAGTGAAGACTCAAGTAGGTATTGTATGTGTATTTCCAGACATACACCGAAAATTAGCCTGTATAGAGCTATCCTTACCTTTACTGCTCAGCCCAGACTCCTAACTTATCTTAATGCTAGACAAACCACACCAGGACTGTCAGTTACTAACAAGTTATTTCATTAAGTACATAAGCTTTAACATGACAATGAACTGTTTTCCAGGCAGCTGCAGGTTGCATTTTGTTAGGAATCATTCTGTAGGACTCTTCCAAGTGTAGGGAAAAACCCACATCTGGCTTGCTCTGCTTAGACATGTTTGCCTGTAAAATAAAGATCTCAAAGAAATTTTTAGTAAAATCACTATCTCACAAAGGATAATTTGTAAAACTGTAAGTGCTTTCCTTTTAAACATAAATTAGAAGTTGTACGTGCATATATAACATGCGAAATACTAGGAAGAAGTTTATATTTTTTTCTGAGTTTTAATGCTCTCAAACCTGAAGCAATGGGTCAGTACCTTAAGTCTTAAGCAATTTAAAGGTTAAAACAATAAAAGGCCACTCTCTCCCCAGGTCAATGAGAAATTTTCAGCTACAACCAACTTGTTCACTTATTTGTATCAAAAAAGGCTAAATTAATGTCAACCTTTATATTTGCAGTCTTTTGTTAGTGTCTAAGAAAGTGTTCAGCCCCACTGAAATCCCCAAAAGAAATTATACTGTTAACTTGTTTAGTAGATATTAAGTCTTGATTAAAAGTCCTGTTAAGTTATGAACACAAGTACTAGAGGTGTAATGTCTAGGGAGAAAGAGTTAACCATTTTAAGATTTTGTTATTAAAATTTGAGTTACATTTTAGCATATTAGAGAAATCATCACTGTTCCACTTTAAACCACAATGCTAGAGGTATTTCCCCCAAAGCTTTAAAGTACAATTATATGGTTTAGTACATGTAAACATCACTTTTTCCCCTTATAACCATAGCATAGTAAGTTATGCTAACATTATGTAACTTTACAAAATATTTAAAGAAACGTTTGTCAGAAAATAACCCCAAACAGAATAATTTCCAGTTGTTTTTTGTTTTGTTTTTCATAACGCAAAGGTTTAAGAACACTCAAGGACAATTAGATTTGTTTAATAAATCACTGCATGGTTCTTACTATTTCCTCATTCTGAAAATTTACACCTTTTAATCAGCTCCAGAACTGTGAAACTCTTACCTTTCTATTCAGGGATCCATAATTAAACTCCTTTAATTTCAAGAGGCTTAAATTTTCTTGTTAGACTTAATATATTTTTTAAATGTTTTATAAATTTATCAGGTTGTATAATAATGTTATAGAAATTTGTTTCCTATTACTAAAATTCAGCACAGGCACAATTTTACCAACCAGTCTTCAAATTTGATCATTCCTACGTTAACCCACATTTTTCTACACATAAGAAACATGAACTAAAGACAAGACACACACAAAAAAAGGGCAGAAATGTTGGATAAAATACTGTAACTGCCACTTCTTAGGTTCTACTCCAGTGACCTAAGTTACATTAGCCTAGAATTGTTGCAAAATGATTTTCAAATTTCCACCCAACTTCTACACTCTTGGTGTTAGAGACATGTACGCATACACATACTGTGACTCCATTTGGCACTGGTGTGTCTTGTTTTCTTATTTTTAACTTCCAGAAAGCAGAGTCTAAGGATCACTAAAAGTTTTTACATCATTAAAAATTACCAGAGAACTAGTACATAACCAGTTAACAGTTTTATCATGAACTGGTAATATTGGTAAAATATTTGTTTACTAGAAAAAAGACAGCCTCCCTCACAAATCTAAATTCCATGCTTAAACAACTTTCTTTATACACTGCTTTAAACAGAATGAAATTTTTACCAAATTTAAAAACTTGAGTAGTATACAAGTATCATTAATTAAATTTTAAGATAAAACATTAAGAAAGCAAAAAGGCATATCCTAATTTTACAGATTATGCATTTATCCAAGTAAATAACCTTTATACAATCATAATGGAATGCTTGATAACCAAATAATCAGACAAATAATATTATAAACAGTAAAATCTGACATGCAATCCTAGTAGTGAAATGTTTTAGTACAAAAAGATGAAATTTGATTGAAGGAACAAAGTTACATATATAAACTTCACACTGACAAATTAAAATTGCACTTTTAATCTCTGGAACATTTAAAAGTGGAAGGTGAATCTTCAGTAATATTTAATTTTCAAAATCTTCTGGTCACAATCCCCACCAAACTCAACAGGCCGGGACAAGTGCAATACCATAGAGAAACACAGCATTGCAACTGATCCCAACCTGTGTAGAAAGGGGTTTGATTTTCCCTTACTTTTCTACAGACTTTTCACTACCACAGTCAGTTTTGCATGGATTTGCACAGCAGAATATCACACAGCTGGATGCAAACCTGCAAAACTAACCATAGAACAGTGTTCAGTAACTGGACAGTTTGACTGGGCGACAGGCCGAGGCTGGAGTTCTACAGCTAGCAGTACTTTAAGTGCTCATAATGCAGTAGATAACTAAACACTACCTGCACTATAAGCACTTTAGTGCTACAGAAGCTGTCACATCAGACACACCAGGCGGATTCTACATCGATACAATAAAAGTACACAAAATTAGTAAAAATTACTTGAAGGAAATAGCAGGCCACCATCAGTTTTGCATAGATTTGCACAACTACATTCTTCTTGTAGTGCAACTATGCAAAACTAACAGAGGACTGCAAACAAAAAGCATTAAAACACCTATATACTTGCTTGGCTTGGCTTGGATGAAAACATAACTTCTTATGCCAGAAGGAGCACTTAGGGCAGTAGATGCTAATCTACTTCACTATCTGCACTAGATGCACCTTAGAACAAAAAGCACTCAACACCAGCAGGCCCTGCGCTTTACAGCCCACCAATGGCTCCCCGAGGCAGCTGTCACCATAATGCTACAAGTGCCTTCACTGCAGTAGATGCACATATCACTACCTGCACTGTAAGCACTTTGACATTACTCTGACTGGTCACAATCTTCAGGTTTTACAAGGTGATGTTCTCTTTATTCCTGCTAAATTTTAAATAAATAATTAGAATAACACCTCAAACTCTTACAGCTATAAAACATACAAAATTTAGCATAATCCTTAATGGGGAAGAGAAAACGAGTTCAATTACCTTAAACCGGTGAGTTCCATTCAGAAGCACATTTAGACTTCAAAAATAGAGAACTCTTTGTTTCACAAGACAATCATAATTAATCATCATTCTAATACTGTAAAAGAAAGTGGTGGCTCTTCCTTTACCTTCCATTCCCAAAAGCATACTTACAAAATCAAAATCAGATTGCAAATAAATGAGAATAATTTGACTCATGTACCTTTTGGAGGAAATCTTCACATCCACGTGGAAAAAACGTATTTTCTTCTGCTTCCAATTAGCAATTATTTGGTAAACTAATTCATAAAATTACTGTTCAGACTATACTTCAAGTTTATCAACTGGTTGATCTTATATACTCCACTTAAATTATTTTTAAATCTTGGGAACACTACAGATTAGATTTTATCATCCAATTTAAAGCAGTTTTAAAATTACATTTGTAAACTGTGCATCAGTTTCCAAAGATTTATAAAGATATCTGGACTGTACTTTTACTAAAAAATTAGCTGACCCAGAGTTAATTTTCTAGAAAATGTAAATGGACAAACTACCCATTTCACCCTTTGAAAAACCCAATTACATCTTAATTATTCAAATTAAAGTCAAGAGAAAGTTATTTTAAAGAAAAGTTAAAGAAAATTAGAATACACTCACCCACTTGCGAAAACTTCGTTTTCAGCAACTATCCTTAGGAAAAGCTCTTGGCGCAGTTAGGTCCACGTGTATGAATGACTGGGATGGGAGGGAAAGGGAAAAAACACAAATTTACTACCACTGTCCAGATCCATATTTAAATTTGTGCTTTTCCAACCCCTTTATAAAGTCAATTACAGTCATCAAAAAACCACAGATAGCCAAGCAATACTAGTGGAGTTTAAAAGACCAACAATGTATGGGTGAAAATTAGTAAGAAAATAAAGTTGAAAAATCCACAAGCATTAGATCCACATCTTATTTTAAAAGACGCTGAAAGACTCCGGCACGATCGACAGCAATCTTAACCTCTATCGCTCAGCTCCAACGAGAGGGAAACGCAGCGCAGGGACTATTCTTCCCCACCCCTCCCCCATTCGAGACCTCGTGGCCGCAGCCGGGATAAAGAGTTGTTCCCCCCACGACGTGGTCGGGACGGCGCGAGGCCGATTCTCCCTCGTGGCCATACTGCCTCGACGAGCCCGCCCGTCTCCAGCTCCCGTCCGCGGCTCCCGTTCACGAACAGAAAAGGCGGCACGGGCACCGGGGGCTGCAAAGTGCCCGCCACGCTCCTGGAGCTCAGGCCGGCGGACATGT